AGTTTTGCTACTTGTCTCTCAACACAGAGAAAACACCCACAGAGATTTTATTGGTCCATTATCTATGTCCCCAGGAATAAGCCACTCACAAGGTCAATTCTCTATTCTATTCTGTTACAGGGCTTATTAAGATTACAAGAATTCCACAATTATTTTCATGTCTTAGATAAGAAGAGTGTTTTACTTCCCGAGCTCATTTGCTTCACTTTTCCCCTTGTCATTTTTGCCTAATTGCCTCTCATACACGAAACATCATGAATCATGTCATGTGTTAACAGAAGAAAGTAAAAAATTGTCTCAGATGCAGTAGTCCAATCTTTTGATGGCATTAAATGTTAAGATATATATTTGACAATTATTCACCGTAATAATGAGTTAGATCCTATATTACCCTCTAAAGAGGACATCTTGCAAAAGCCTAATAAACACAACTTAATAGACACAAGTTAATAACTGCATTATCAGTTATTAATAGAGTTGTGCTATACATTGAGAAATGTATCATAGGCATATATTGAGTAACTTCTGCATACCAAGCTCTTTAGAATGATGTTGGTTAAACAATAATAAACTGGGGTACAATGTTCCTCAATTCCCTGAAGTTTATATAGAAAATGTGGGCAGCCAGACCGTAGACAAGCAATTGCAATTTCAACATGAATTGGAAAAGTTCTACGTAGTACAATGAATATGAATCTAAGAAAGATAGTTATAATTAAGAAATAGATTGAGTGGGCAGTGAAGAATACCTGGGAGAAATTTATCAAAAGTTAGTCCTGGAGGTTAAACTGAATTTAAGTGGGTACCAGACAATAATATCTAGAAAACTGCATATGCAAAGAGTTGGAAAAGATATGTTAGGCTCATTCAAACACATCCAGGTGTCTCAGGGGAGGGAATGGAACAAGAGGAAAACAGATGGGCTCAAAAAGATTTATATTTGAGCTACATGATGGAGTTTTGATATTTGGAGAATACCAGTGTTTCATATGAGAATTTGATTAAAAGTAGCCTGGTTTTAGGGTCTACCATGATTATAGCTGAAAGAGCTAGAGCAGAGACAGTGGTACTTGGATTCTTCCAAGCAACATGCAGGAAAATGATCATCAATGAAGTGAGGTGTAATGGGAGGATCTTGGCGAAATGTTTCTACCACAAATCACCATTTGAATGTGGGGGAAAAGAAAGACACATCAAAATAACTTTCTAGTTGAGGAAATAGAATGTTATCACTGTAAAAGGCTGTCAGAAGGAGTTGATGTGGAAGGGCAAAGGGCCACGTTTTTAATGTGACTCTCACTGAGTTTACAGCACATCTTGGATGTTGGGTTGGGAGGCAGTTGTATGCAGAGCTTGTTTGTGATTTACATGTTGGCCCAGTCTTTGATTTGTTAATTGGTGATGTGGTGTTAATTGAATGAGGTAACATAACAGGGGCTCATACCATGTTAAAAACTTGACAAAATTCTTTCACATGTGTTTTACTCCTCGTTATGACCAGTGACACTTTTCTTCCTTTTAACCAGTTTTTTTCCTTTCAACCTGTAGTCTGAAATTGTTAAAAATATTGTAAGAGATAACACCTATAGAATTCTCAGAGTGTACTAGGAATTTATCACTATTCTGACATCGTATGTGTTCTCAGGAAAGCATATAGTGTGTTTTCATTATCTTCATCTTATAGGTGTGAAAACCAGTAAAAGCACTAAAACATGATAACTTGTCCATAACCCTTATATCCTATAGCCTGTGAGTGTTGGACATTGGATTTGATTCCAGAATGACTGGTTCCCATTCTTTTCTTTAAATCCCTGTGCCAAGATGCCTTTCTCTATCACTATATCTATCAACTATATGCTTATTGAATATATGTTTAGTTTTGAGTCTATCCATTATGAACCATGTCCCTTCACGTAGGCTAGTGTTTCACTTTGCTTGCTATTTTCAATAACTCCGTTTCTGTAGTACCCAGTGTGGAGTACCCACAATTGTTTTCTCATTAACACCAAAGCATTCACTGTTATATAATAATGTCAAATCTGTTGCTAATTGATTCTTACATACCCAAAGCTAAACACAGATTTCTATTGCAGATTCATATGTCTGGGCATCTCCATTGTCATTACTTTGAAGGTTTGAAAGAAACTTAAGGTGGTATTAAGATATTTGAATGTATCTTGCAAAATGGCAGTTGTACCATGACTTGCCATTCACAGGGTCATTCACAGAAATAAGTCCTCCCATACAAATCACATCTAGATTTCTGCAGTGGTTCTTAACAAGCTTCCACTGCCGACATCTCCACAGCACCCAAAGCTTCTTGATGCATGCTAAGTGCTTTACATATTTTATGATATGAATGAACAGGCTAATAACTATTATAACAACATTCTCTATCCTCTGGATTTCTTTGTAATTATGCTAGATAGTGACATTTTGCTCATTTAAGAAATGATTGTGTTGTTCACAAGAAAGAATAGAATAACAAAGGAGCATTTTCTGGAAAAAAGAAAGTATTTGGCATGTGTAGACTTCCATTACATTTGAGAACTGTGACTGAAGGGGACAATGCTGTCATCCTTGCCCACCACTGACACACCAAGGCTGGGGTTGCCACTTGACCCTGACCATTGACATTCCAACCCACTTGATGTGGGACTTCATTATGAACTGGAGGGGGAACCAAGAACTCCATCTGATGACAAAAAGAAGGATCAAGTTTTTAATTCATCTTTATTTATTTTGAGACAGGGTTTCTCTGTGTTGCCCAGGCTGTCCCGGACTCACTTTGTAGACCAGGTTGGCCTCAAACTCACAGAGATCCACCTGCCTTTGCATCACCAAGTGCTGGGATTATAGGCATACATCACCTCACCCAACTTCTTTTTTATTATTTTGTTTCTGAGAATTTTATACTTGAGCGCATATCATTTTTACTACGTCCCTCAAGCTCTCCCTACTTCTTCTTGGATTCATGGATTTGATCCTGAATAATAATAACAACAATAACAATAATAAACCTTGATCTTGATATCTCCGAGAGTCCATTAGGTGTTGCTTATAAATACATAAATTTAATGCTGACCACATGGAATCAGTGTCAGTGGCCTTGTCCCTTGGTAAAATTGATTCTCCTGTCAGTAGCCCCTGACTGCCTATGTTTCTTCATCTAGTGGCGTGCTTAATGCTGCATTCTTCCCAAGTTTATTCATTTAAATGCTGAAAGAGAACAATGACAAAAAATGAAATTGAAAGCTGCAGTAATGTATTTAAAACTCACCCCTGTCACCTTCCCCACAAAACATATTTCCTGGGTTTACGTTGAACAAACTTCCTGAAGCTTGGTTAAAACTGAATGGAAAATCATAGTGGTTTTGAGGAGTTGCATGTAAGTTGTATTTTTAGTAAAGTTATTCACAGCACCTGATGATGAAGTTGAATGTGTGGTTGCTAAGTTGGGGTTGGACATCACCTCTCACGGGATGTGATTAAGTGGGAGCTGTCATTTTCTCTTCTGTGAATTGCCAACAAGAGCTCAGTCTATCACAGCCTCTACAAATTGTGTTTAAAACTTGTTTCCCTGAACTTAGTTATCCTCAAAGTGCCCCATTCCACAGAAAGTATTGAAAAGTCAGCATTTTTTTTTCTGGTTCAAGAACATTGATAGAGATATTAGAAATTGTGTCTTCTTATCTACATATTGTTAAGAAAATAGAATTTTGAAGGAAAAGATTTCTTCACTTTTTCATATAAATCGGTCTACTGTGTTCATTATTCTCTTTGAAATCAGAAAAAAAAAACACCTGATACTAATTATCTTGATAACTGTCACCTCGATAATGAGACAGACCACGCTTCTTAGGATGGAGTAAGGTGTGAATCAAAAGTGTGTAGGTTTAACCACTAATGGAGCATAATGAGAAATGAAGAGTCCTAAGCCTGAAGTTGTGAGACAAACTTAGAAAGACTTTCTTTTTTAATTGATAGTAATGTGTGCTTCAAACTACAGAAATGAGTATCAGTTTTGCATCCTTTAGCCTTTTCCTTTACTAGAGCCACCAGAGAGGGATTAGAAAATAACAGTTCCCCACAGAATCAGCATATATTAAGAAGCTTTATTTTTCTTGAGAGAATGTGTTTTCTCTTTGTACAACTGAAAGGGGTGATGAGAATGTTTGCTCTACATATTTCATTACAGAGGTCATTTTCTCAAAATGAGCTGGTGTTGTCAGTTAGAGTTTATCTGTTGGTATAATGTTCTTGTGGAATGTATGCAATTTTCCCTTGGTCATTCAAATGCTGATTTCTCTCCCCCACTATCTGGATTCAATCTGGACATTGCATTGTGATGTTCACCTGTCTCACCTGTCTCAAGTCTGTGTAAACATGCCACCATTTGTTCTCTGTATTGTCAATAAAACAACCAGCCAATGCAGAGCAATGGAGAGCATAGAGTAGGAGGGGAGTTGGGAGGAGAGATCCAGAGAGGAGAGGACTTGGAACCACCAGGAGAGATGAACTGGACCTAAGATATGACTAAAAGCAAGTATAATGGGTGAAATCTGAATGCAAGCATGTAGGTTTAGGATGGAGTAATCATTGCCCAGTATTGTGCGCTAGGTTAACTAAATACATCCTAGTCTCTAATTACATCACCTAGTGTGGTGATTTGGGTATATAGCTAGTTTAGGAATAATCACTGTTTAACTAAAAAAATAAATCAATACTAAATATACCCTTGACCTTGGGAATCCATAAGATGTGATTATAGCTGTAAAAATCTTTGTTAAGAAATTAGTACTGTTGGGTGACTTAGGAAATATGCTATAGTTAAACTCTTGGGAATATTTTAAAATGAGATTCTAAATCTTTTTGCATGTTTTCCTCTTTGCCTTAATGCAATTCCACACATGGAAATGGTTAATTGAATTAAGAAATAAATGTGTTTACTGGTAATTGCTTAACCTTTGAATGGTAATTATAATTTTATATTCTTATAGGATTATTTAACCATTCATAAGTATGGCAATGCAGCCAGAAATGATCTCTGGAATACATTATCAGAGGTAAGGTAGAGGAAGCTGAAATGTCAAAGTATAGTTTTGAACAACTGAATTTCCTTTATAAAACATTCATTTTTAATAACATTGACAGTTTGTGTTTACTTTCTGTAATTCCTCTTACTTCACATTGCCTTAGTGCTTTAATATATAAAATAAAAATAAGATAAAGATTTCACTTATAAATGTTGGCTAAAATGCTTTATCTGCTTTCAAAAGTGTCATTGTTTTTAATTAATTAATAATTTTATAAATGTATAATAATTTTGATTATCAAATATACCTCCATCTTCTCCCCTCAAATGCTTTCCCTATTCTTCACATCATGATTCCATCTCAATTTCATCTGTTCCTTTTAAAAATCTCACTGAGACCACTTTGTGACTTGGTGTAGGACCATGCCAATGATATAAACAAGTATGGGTACCCCCTCAGGAGCCACACACTTAAAGAAAATTGACTCTCTTTTTCCCACGAGTCATCACTTGGCCATAGCTCCTCTACTGAAGGTGGGACTTCTGGTGTTGGAATCTTGGCTGGAATGATCTTACACAGGTCTTGTGGCATGAAGTATGACAATACTTTTGAATGATATTTTCATTTGATCCTCTAAATTCATGTTAAAGACTGAAATATTGAAAATTTTAGGAAAATTTTACTATACCATAGGAGACCTGTCACGATTGTAAAATGAGGCTAGAATTATTTGTAACAATAAATTACATTTTATATTCTGGTATGTAAAAATTTCGACATTAATATGACTTAGCTGCACATATATATACGGAACATAACAATTTAAGAAACCCAAGGCAAAAAGATTAATTTTACTGGTATGTAATGTCAGCTTCACTGATTTTAAATGTTTTTGTATTGAAGTAAATTGTAATGAGAAAAATGAGAACAGATTAACGTTAACTACACTAATGAGAAGTATTAATAGATTAATTTATACAATTTTGGTTGCAAAGGCATTAAAAAGGAATGGAAAGTACGTGAACATACAAGAAGTCATGGACCAGTGGACACTCCAGATGGGATATCCTGTTATCACCATCCTGGGGAACACGACAGCAGAAAACAGAATACTTATCACCCAGCAGCATTTCATTTATGATGTTGGTGCTAAAACCAAAGCACTTCAACTTCAGAACAGCAGGTACCACACAGGCCACGAGTCTATATTTCACTTTGCATTTTAATATTTTAAACTGTTGAGGAATGTTTTGCCTTTAAAAGTTTTGAGAAATATTTAATTTACTATTGAGAAAATTCTGAAATGTGTAAAATATTATTTTAACATGTTTATTGGCTGTTTCATTGTGAGTCTTCTTTTGTTGCTATTTCCTCAAGAGTTTTAAAACCATGTAATTAATTAGTTAATTAATTAACCATGTGTGATAGTTTTAGTGCATGTTTTTCTGTGCACCATTTGAATGCCTCTTGTCCAGTGAGGCCAGAAAACCACTGGGTCCCCTAGAACTGGAATTAGAGACAGTTGTTAGATGCCATGTGGTTGCTGGAATTCAAACATGGGCCCTCTGGAAGAGCAGCGAGTGCTATCATCCACGGGGCCTTCTCTGTATCTCTCCTTCAGAACTTTAGCTTTCAACGTGACAGTATTTATTTCTGGAGGCAGAACTTTGAATTAACACGGTGACTTTCAAGAGAAAAGATTTGTGTCTTCCCTCTTCTATGAATCGTCTTGAATTAAACTTGACAGTTAAAACGTGTAGCCATGAATTAAATGGAATCGAACACCATGTGCTTTATCAGACAAAAGAGAACTGAAGCTAACAATCTAGAGAGACTCACTACACCAAAGATCTGTACTTAATAATGTATGAGTAAAAGAAACATCATGTAGACCCTCAAACAAACCAAGCTTCAGTGGGGCCGCATAGGATGAATATATGTTCTTTTTATAATCAATTATCATGTTAGAGGTCACTGGCTAGATACGACACATGCAGAATTGCTTCTTGTTTTTTTAATTGGATCTCACTCTGGAGCCCTGCTGGTTCAGGCTCACTTGCACCACAGGCTGGCCTGGAACTCACAGCCATCTTCTTGCCCCAGCCATCCTATCTACCTGGTATCATGATTTATTACTTTAACTTTTCTTTGGAAACTCCTATTGATTTTATTCCACGTTTTCTCTTTTGTTTCTTATTTTAAAGGCTGAGCTAAAGAGAATTAAAACTTTTATTAACCATTTTCATTTCTTATAAAAAAGGTATTAAAAGTGGGCTGTAGGAGCACAGGGGTGAAGAGGAAGAGAGAGGAATGAGAAATGGGGGCAGGAAATTAATAAAGAAAATTAGTTTTTGCTTGGGTTGCTTGGGAAAATGAGGCACCTGACTTTATCAACCATGCGTATCCACGAGACCTGGAGCACATGTTTTGCTGTGTCGCCTAAGAGGTCTTGAAACCATTTTGAAGTCAGCTTGATCCAAGCATGAATGTACAAAGCCTTGGTTGAGGAATTCATTGGTGCTTTTTGATGGCTTTTGCGAGTCTCATTTGGGGAAGCAGGATCATTGTTTCAATTCTCTGCATGTATATTTATATGTGTATATGTGTATGCTCATGTGTGCATCATGTATGCTGGGCTACATGCCCGGGATTCTGCAGGCTCAGCTTTGCCTCCCATGTCTCCATTGGAGCACCGAGCTTAAGTGAACCACAACTTTATGTCGGTTCTGAGGATTTGAACTCGGGTCTTCTTGTTACCTACTGAGATTTCTCTCCAGCAATAAAGCATGGGCTTACGGTCCTTACTCCACTTATATATTGACATTAGAGTCTCACTCATCCGACTCTCTGCATTATTGTATTACACATTACTCTGCTGCAGCCTTGCTGCGATCAAGGAAGAGTGTCAATGCATTTTACTCTCTCTGGTCCCTGTAGCATTAACTGCTCCATTACAGCCTCACTGTCACGGTCAAGGTTCAGCATTATCAGGCATCAGCCCTGACTTTGCTAGGAAGTACTTCCCTATGGAAAATTGAAAGAGGTATCAGTCCAGGCCTCTGAGAACTGCTACCCTGACATAGTGTCACTGATGTAGAAAAATATAAAAGGAGACATAAAGTATGACAGTGTAAATTTTGAACAAAAATAATCTGTCCACCTATAACATACATGATTATACCAGCTGTGAGGCTGATCTTTTAAAACAAAAGGTATCGTCCAGGCCGTGTAAACAAACAACACAGAGAGCTCTGTATCTGCTAAAACAACAGAAAGATCTCTAGGATATAAACCCTGAGCACTTGCCACATAGCGTATAAAGGAGGCGTGGTGCCGATCCAAAGCATCACATTACTTCCAGGAATGGTTTTCTATTAAAAAAATAATAAAATCTATACTTTAAGTGTAGTGTCCTAATTTTATATTACGGATCATTTAATTCTCTGTGGCATTCTGGTCAAAGATTCAACACCATTTCCATCCGGTCTCTGAACAGAGCCTTCCTAACGCTACTACAGTGTTTTCTCCTGATATAATAGAACTTGCTTATCGATGACAGAATTTCTAGTAAGTTGTAAATCTTTTCTAAGCTGAGTTAATTCTTTGTTTCCCACCCCCCTTTTTTTTCACAGATATAGGAATATACCGTAACATAGTCAAAACATTTTAATAGAGCTAATAATTATAGTTTTATACATAAAACTTTCACCCTTATGTTACAGCGTAGAGAGATGCTTATATAACTGAAATTTCATAAAGTTGGCTGATATGTGGCATAGTGTGACATTTGTGCTGGAATCTTGTTACTTAGACAGTGGTACATCTTTGTGGCATTTTAAAAAAATGCATTAAATCACTACTTTGCAATGTTGCATAATATCTTCTCATATGCCAAGTTGCTTCTCAGAGCTCTGATCTACACAGAAGCCTGTGCATCAACCCAGGCAGGCCTTTCTTTTCCTCAGTGTTGACAGTTGCACTTTATACTGATCTTTCCTTAACACTGATACTATTTTTGTAAAGGATTCTCTCCTCCCAATTCAAACATGCACACTTTTTTTTTTTTTTTGCCTCTCTCTGATAGTTAGAAGTAAATGTAAATTCAAAACTATGATGAAGACAGGTAGTCACAGAGGCCTGAATATGCTCCTTACACAGGTTATTACCACAGGCATTCTCTCCTAACGCTTCTCACTCGCACAGTTACTGACTGTGCACAAAATTTCTTGTTGTATTTCAGGTATTTCTTTTTTTTTCTTTTTATAATTGTTGACTACCACATTTGCTAGAGATACAATGTGAGGTTAAAATAGTTTGTCTATAATTCAGGCAGGAAACAAAAGTACAGTTGATAGATTTGTTGTAAAATCATTTCACGTATGTTTGGTTACTCCTTTGAGATTAAGTTGATATTACTTCTTCAAGTCTAGGCCTCAATTTTTATCCTGTGAAGAAGTAAATTAAATAAAATGCTTCTTTTTAATAGCTGAGACTCATAGCTGACCCCTCCTCTTGCTGGCTTCTTTAACACTTCAACTTAGAAATTCCATTTTAGAAACTAGAGCATGAAGTGTGTCCGAAATTATTCTTCATATAGCTCAGAATTTCAGTGAAAACTGATTATTTTTGTTCTGACTTCATTCTGTACTGAGTATCTTTGACTGTGTAGCAAGAAACTCTCTGTGAAATATGTAGCTGGTGGCCATCAGACATGTTAATCACGAAATAAGGAAAGAGCTAATATGCAAATGGAGAAAACTACTGAATTGTATATTAGTTTAATCCAAAAAAGTAGAAAAGAGCTATTTTTAGACTGCAATCAATAAACAGCACAGCTCAGATTTATAGAGTTTAGTTGCATTTATTTCTAAATTGCAAGTCTCTTTTTGGAAGACAAGCTTTGTGGAATGTTCTTTTACAATGAAGTTAAAACTATTAGACCTAACTCTCCTCAGTGGCCCTGGGAAGGTAAATTTTCCTTCTGCATATATTCGTTAGGCCTGGGATTTATTGGATGACTGATTAATTGATGGCTCAATTATATTTCTCCCCCCCAAAGAGTAATAAAAACTTCACAAATGGTATATAGGCAATGCCAGCTTGCTTTTGTCTCAGCATAACTGATACAGCTGTTTTTATTCTTAAAGTTTTCTTTTACTTTCCAGTTACCTGTGGCAGATCCCACTAACCATCGTGGTAGGAAATAGAAGCCATGTGTCTTCAGAAGCAATTATTTGGGTGTCTAACAAATCAGGTAAAATATAAATTATCTCCAAGGGAGCTGTTTGCATTCAGATAATTGTTTAGTGTCTTAACCTCTGTTTTCAGCTGCTACAAAATGTGAGTAAAAAATATTATGAAGAGAAAACACATTAACAGTAATCACTTCTGTTAAATAAGGAATTATATAGTTTATAAATGGATTAATTTTAGACTGATATGTGAATATTAAGTTTACTTTTTTCTTTGAAAGCAGAGAATGTAATTAATGGTTATAGTATTAATCATTTTATAAGTGAATAAATTTATAATTTAAAACACAATTGAAGTATGATTACAAGTGGTTGTACAATAAGAAGAACACTGAAATGGAGATCACTTTTTAAAAAAAATGTTATTTATTATTTATTACAATTTATTCACTTTGTATCCCAGCTGTGGCCCCCTCCCTCATCTCCTCCCAATCCCACCCTCATGCCCTCTTATATCCCCCTATGGCCCTCATATAGCCAAACTTTGGGCAGGGTGCAGAGATCACATTTTATTTTATTTTATTTTTTTAAAGGTAAATTCAATTTCATCTTTATTTATTTATTTTTTTTCGTATTTTATTTTTTTCTTATCAGTTACATTTTATTAACTCTGTACCCCAGCCGTGTCCTGATCCCTCATTCCCTCCCAGTCCCTCCCTCCCTCCTCTCCACCTTGCCCCTTGCCAAGTCCACTGATAGGGGGGACCTCCTCCCCATTCATCTGATCCTGTTTTATCAGGTATCCTCAGGAGTGGCTGCAAAGCTCTCCTCTGTGGCCTAACAGGACTACTCCTCCCTTGGGGGGTGGGGAGGCCAAAGAGCCACATTTTAAAGCACAGCCTCTGGCTACCTTTTCCTTACCAGGTTGTCCCTATAAAGGATGAGAAAACAAGATTTCTCTTGGTATTAGGTAATTGTAGAGCTCGTTGTAGGGACTCAGGAAAATCATCAAACACACTCCTAGGTGAATCAGGCCTCAGGAGCTAAAAGAGATAAGATTTCATTCTCTTTCTAAATATCTTAAAATAGTGAGTTATTTCAATTCACTGTCAGAGAGAAAGCTATTTCTTGAATCAAATCTATATCTTTCATGCTAGAGTGTGATACAGGCTCTTTCTCTTTCTATATTCCTTTGCCTTGGAGAAAAAGCCAGTTATCTTTTACTTAATATTTCTTTCAGATTCAGACGGTCAAATGTGCTCTACTTTGAATTTCTTAATGCTTTTTCATAAACTATTTTTAACATTTTATTATTGTTATTATTATTTACAATTTATTCAATTTGTATCCCGGCTGTGGCCCCCTCCCTTGTCTCCTCCCAATCCCTCCCTCCTTCCCTCTTCTCGCCCATGTCCCTCTCCTAGTCCACTGATAAGGGAGGTCCTCCTCCCTTTCATCTGACCCTAGCCTATCAGGTATCATCAGGACTGGCTGCATTGTCATCTTCTGTTGCCAGGCAAGGCTATTCTCCCCTCAGGGGGAGGTGATCAAAGAGCCAACCACTGAATTAATGTCAGGGACAGACTCTGTTCCCATTACTTGGGAACCCAAGTAGAGACTGAGTTTATAGGCTACATCTAAGCAGTGGTTTTAGGTCTCATTGTCTATAAATTGATATTGTTTTATTACTTTATGGAAAACATTTTAAAGTCACAAATCTTATAATTTTGAGCACTATCAGGTATAAATAAGCAGGCTTGGAGTTTCATATAAGTATCTTATAAGGGATATATACATATATTCTATATCATATATAAGAACACATTGAAATGTGTAACATTTTTTGGTGTTTTCCTTTTAAATAAAATATTTATATTTTTCTTCATTCTATCCTTTAGAATTGACATTAATACCATGTTTCTGAGTCAATACTTACGTATCATCATAAATAGCTCTCTTTTTTCTTTTTATTTCTTACTTCAATTTACATCACCGTCATAGGCCCCTCCCTCTTCTCCTCCCAGTCCCACCCTCCCTCTCACATGCCCTCTCCCCTATTCCTCAGAATTTGTGCAGCCCCTCCTGCCACTATCCTCCATCTATTCACATGAAGACCAAGTTTGTCTTTTTTCCCTATGGCCCAGTAGGGCAGTCCCATAAGGGGAAGGTGACCAAAAAGCAGGTAACATAATCCATGTTAGAGATATTCTCCACTGCCCTAACTATTGGGCTCACTTGAAGCATAAGATGCCTATTAGACACTTTAATTTAAATGATGGTCAGGTGTAGTTACAGTCTAATTTCTTTTAAACACATATCACAGGTCCATCTCCTGCAGCTCTAGTCATAATATTCCTTTAATCACATGAGTATAGAAAATACTGCCATGTCATCCCTTGCCCCAATCGATGAATATGTCTGAGGATTTTTAAAAATATCCACACATAGTTTTTATTAAAATTAACCTTTTTGCTTAAGCTCGGTTTTGACCTTAGATACTGCCTTTGTTGATCTTTATAATCATTATACACAGATGTACAATTTTTGTACTGTAAAATTATGTACTGTAAAAGAGAGATAGAAGGGGTCTATCTATCTATCTCTATCTATCTCTCTATCTATATCTATCTATCTATCTCTCTATCTCTCTATCTCTCTATCTCTCTATCTCTCTATCTAGACAGTGGTATGATGGGGCATCTCCCTAACCCAAAGCGATACCTCTTCCACCTTTTTGGACAAGGTATCATTTCTCACTAACCCACAGCAAGTTCTGTTTAATGTATACCTATCTGGTCAAGGTGAGATGCTGAGGCTTCCAGCTGATGCCATGTGATGTCACTGTGTCTCGAAAATCTCACGAATGCAGAAACATGGAAGAGAAAGGGTCATAAAGAAAGATCAACTTCTTGTACTACCTTCTCAATCTCATTCTGAATGTGTTCCACATTGTTTTGAAGTATTTCATTCTGATGACTAACAATAAAATAAAGGAGAGTTTATGGGAGGAAAGACCGGCTTTTGTATTATTTTTGTCTCATTTGGTTCAAAATATAATTAACTGAGAACAAAGACAATTATTAAAAAATCATTAGAAGTAATGTTTAACTCTTATTAAAATGAGTTAAAATAGAGTAAATATTTAATTACATTAGCCAGTCAATGTTTTATAATTTCATTATCAGTAATGTAGATTTCATTTTACAATATTAAGGTAAGTCACTGGTGTGTAATATGTATAAATTTGATCTAATTTTTCACAGGTTATCGACAATTCATTTTAAAGGCACATTAGATGGAAAATTAATTCACAAATAAAGTACAGATCATTATAGTTTAAGAGTAGCATGTATACCAGTTTTTATATTTTTAAAAGCAGGTGAAAGTGGTTTTTTAAAAATTCTCACTATGAAAATACAAATATTTCAAACATTTATGAACATAATAACTTGCATGCTGTTTATGACTGAATGGCGAAAGGAGGAAAGCAAATTTAACCCCAAACATCAAAGGAGAAAAGGTGCAATGCTGAACATAATTTGATCCTAAATATTAAAAATGGCATACCATATAGCTTTCATTCAAAGTGATTCAATTATGACCCAGGAAACTTATCAATCAGTATTATCTTTTATCCACATTCTAGAAGTGTGGAATCAAGTCTTGATGGATGCTTGCCCAGTGTGCAAATTGTCTAGCCAAGTGAAAAACTGCTTTTAAGAGCTTGGTTCTCTTTCTTCTACTCCTGGACACACACTTATATTTATAATAGGGTGATTTGCAGCTCTGTTAGTTACTCAACACAGTGTTTTTGGAAACGTGCATATTGGTGTATATAGGTTTCATCACATTATTTCATTGGATTTTTCATAAGAATCCAGTGAAAAATATCAATATCTGGGTTATATATATAATTTCTGGGTTTCTTTCTCCTGTATCATTACAGATGCTATCTTAGCTGACTTTTTCCACTTATTTTATTTTTAACTATCATGTTCTACAAGTAGCATATTTGGCTAGAAATGCATAACTATCATTTCCACAGTGACTATAAAGTAAAATATGTTATAAAATACCAACTCCTCTATGCCTGATATAGTCTGAGTCTTGTGCCACTTTAGATATAAATATAATTTTCAATTATTATTATGAACATTCAAAATATAACTTCCATACCTTTTGCTACAGATCTCATCAAACACCATACCTCATTAGGCCATCAGAAAAGATCTTTTTAAAATTCATTGCCTGCTATTAGTTAATTTGCAGAACATTTTGGGAAGGTAATTAACTAGTACTGAAAAGACATTTTAAAATCTATTACAAAATCTTTCTGGGAATTGTTTCCCAAAGATCTCATTTGTAATAAAGCCGTACAAATATTCATGAATAATAATAACTTCAGGTTTTAGATATAAGTTTAATGACATAATTCTATAAAACAATTTATGCCTGTCTTATTTTAGTCAAGCAATATAGAATATATAGAGATTATTTTCATGTTTTAATATATACACTCACTTGACTATAATCTACCTTTAAGATTTTTAATAAAATAAATAAAAATAAGAACAAATTAGATTACATGTTATTTACACACATCACTACCCAATTTGTAAATAAGGAACAAATTTAGAAAATGAATTTAGCATTGTAAGAACACATTATCATTTGATGTTTGTAAAATGTATATTTATATATTAAGCTTGATGCCACAGCTTAACTAGAAAACAACACTAATAAAACTTATCTAAATATCTGGGTCAGAAAGCTGTCTCAGAGGTTAGGAGCATGTAGTACTCTTTAGAGAACACCCAAGTTTGGTTCTTAGAACACATTTTGGGGGGCTCACATCACCTTGTAACTTCACCTTCATGGGATTCAGTGTCTTCATGCACCTGTAATCCTGTAATCGTGTGCAAATACCATTAAACACACATATGCAAATACACAAACAGTTATAAAGAAAGAAGCTTTAAAATTATCAAATTTATGTAGTTAAATGTAACTAAATAAATATAAAGGACATTTATTTATCTATAATTCTTATTAGAACTCATATGACATATGTATTATAAACTATATATAATAGACTATATAATAGAATATGTAGACGTATATTTCCCCAAGATGCCAAGATGACATTTCAATTCTTATCATTTATTCTTCAACACAAGAGCTCTGAAGTTCATAAAAGAAACATGACAAGAGCTTAAGTCACACGCTGATCTTCACACAGTGATATTGGGTGACTTCAGTACCCAGCTCTTGTCAGTAGGCCAGTCATCCAGATGAAAATTATTCAAAGAAACACTGATGCTAACTGACATCATTAACCAAATGGACGTAAACTATGTACAAAGCGTTTCACCCCAAATAAAAGAACATACTTTATTCCCAGTGGCTCATAGAACTTTTTCTGAAATTTACCACATATATGTAAAAAAAAAAAAGTCTCAGGGTGTTGAAATAACACCCTGCACCCTATCAGATCACCATTGATTAAAGTTGGATATCAATAACAGAAACAATAGAAAGCTTACAGACTCATGGAAACTGAGCAACTATTTTCTAAATTAAAAAGGGATCAGAAATTACAAAAAAAAAAATTAACTTTCTAGAATGGAATATTCTAAACAACACAGCCAGACTTATGGGACACAATAAAGGCAGTTCTAAGAGTCAAGTTCATAGCACTAATTGCCTACATAAAAAGTTGTACATATCTCATACAAGTAACATAACACCATACCTGAAAGATCTAGTATAAAAAGAAGAAATCACACCCTAAAGAAGTAGATGGCAAGACATAATAAAATCGGGACTGAAATTAATAAAAACAAACAAACAAACAATACAAAGAAATAATAAAACAGTTTTTTGAGAAAATCACTAATATTAACAAATCCTTATTCAAATTAACTAAAAGGCAGAGAAACATATCTAAATAAAAAAAAGAAAAAACCTAGAGATTAAAAGGTGACATAACAACAGACACCAAGGAGGACCAAAGAAATATAAGAACATACTTTAAAAATCTGTATTCCTTCACATTAGAAAATCTAAAAGAAATGGATAATTTTCTCAGTACATACCACCAACCAAAGTTTAATCAAAATCAGATAAACAATTTAAACAGACCTATGACTCCTAATGAAAAAGAAGCAGTCATTAAAAGTCTGCAAGGAAAAATGAAAAACAACCCAAAAGCAAATGGTTTTAGGTTAGAATTCTACCAGACTTTTGAAGAGCAGCTAATGCTAATACTATTCAAATTATTCCAAAAAATAAAGACAGAAGAAACACTGTACAATTTTTTTTACAAGACCACAAAAATATATCTAAACAACATAAAGACCAAACAAAGAATGATAATTACACATCAAATTTTCTTCTGAGCATATAGATGCAAAAATTCTCAATAAAATATGGCTCAGATGTAGCTCATAGACTTAGTCTCCAAGTGGGGTTCCTCAGGAAGGGGAGCAGGGGCTGTCTCTGGCATGAACTCAGTGGCTGGCTCTCTGATCATCTCCCCTTTGGGGGTGGGGATGCAGCCTTGCCAGTCCACAGAGGAAGACAATGCAGCCAGTCCTGATGAAACCTGATAGGTTAGGGTCAGATGGAAGGGGAGAAGGACCTGGGGAGGTCCTCAGTGGACTGGGGGAGGTGCATAGGGGGAGAAGAAGAAAGGAGGGTAGGATTGGGAGGAGTTAAGGAAGGAGGCCATAGCCAGGATATAAATTGAATAAATTGTAATAAATGATATTAATAATAATAAAAGGAAAAAAACAAAAACAACAAACAAAAAATCCTTGCAAAGTGAATTCAAGAACATATCCAAAAGTTATTCCATCATGATCAAGTAGATTTCATTCCAGAGAGAAAAGGATGTTTAAACATACATAAATCCATAAATGTAATCCACCATATAAACAAGACTGGAAGATAAAAATAACATGATCATCTCAGATTTGGGAGTCTTTTGACAGAAATCCAGCACCTCTTCATGATAAAAATGCTTGAAGTATTAGGAATGTAAGGGTCACACCTCAACATAATAAAAACAATTTGTGGCCAAGTCCGCAGCCAACTTCAAATTTATATTTAATATTACTGAATTCAAAGTTTTACTGTTCTTTACTCAAATGATACCATTATAAAAATGTACACCAGTAAGTGCTGAGCCATGGTGTCCAGTCCCAATGGATACATAGAAAACAGCGCCCAAACCTAAGGCCTAGAAAACAGTGTGGAAGAAGGGCAGAAAAAGCGTAAGGGCCTGAGCACAGGGAGTTTGTTGTGAGATTGTGTTTCTGGGGAATGTCAGAAGCTATTCACAGGTAGTCGTGCTGACATGACTGCCTAAACATGAGCTGAACAACATAACAGTAGACATGCTAGAGGGGATGGGAGAAAGCCCATTAGGCTGCAGCCCTTCACAAAGAACTACAAGCAAGGACAGAATGCTGAGAGCAGGGGAAATAGTCTTCCCTAGGGAAGAGCACACTGACTGGATTTTTAATAACAATTTGGCCTTGAAATCATACATACAAGTGACATTGTACAAACCGAAGGTTATTGGTTATGTATTTAGAAATATATATATATGTACATTTCATATGCATGTAATGTACATATGTAACAGCATGTAATACAAAAGAGGACACACATTTTAAAGAGATCAAGGAGGAATGTTGGGGTTTGGAGCAAAAAAAAATGGGGAAATGATGTAATTATATTATAATTTCAAACGCTAAGAGAAATAATTTTTAAAAGTTTTGAATGTTTGAAGGAAATCAGGATTACATAGGAAAAACATTATCTTCAACACTTGATTTAATTTTTTCCAATTCACACATGCTTACTTAGTGCTTTCTTTTTATTAAGTTGCTTTAGCTTGTCAGAATATCTTCTACAAAAAATTTCTTATGAAAGCTGAAAGCATCATAAATTCATGGGTATAAGAATAAGTAGTTGGAAGGTAGTTTGACAACATGTCATTTAGCAAAACATTAGTAGGTTCTCCCTAGATTCTGTGACCACAGCAGATTTCAAGTATAAATAGGGTATAAAGTATAAATTTATCTTCAATTACACTTGATTTTATGGCTGACTTTTTGAAAATTGCTGGTATGTAATATAGATTGGATTAATAAGTCTACTTGATGCAATCTTTTCTTGAATATCTTTTACTTGAGAGTAATTTATACATTCCTTCTCTAAAGGATTAGAAGCATGTTTTTTTTTCTTAAAATGGATTCAGATTTATACTGAATTATATTGAATCTTGATGAAATTCTGTGGTTTTGAGTCATAGAAATTAAAACATACAAGTATATTTTATTTTCTAGTATTTTTTTCATCTGGGTACCAAATTCTGTCTGTGTGTATACACATTTTAATTAACTTCACTGTAAAAATTCCTTCAAGAATGAGTTCTGCAGTTCAACAAGAAGATTATTACAATTGTGAATGATGTTTGATTTGTAAAACCTGTGACAGCTAACTGTACACAGTGAAAATAACTCTATATCATGTTTGAAAGAGTTAAATATTAAATATGGAAGAAGTTATGACATGTTTCCTGCCCTTTGTTAATTGAATTGCTTGATGAATACAAGTTCCAACATTTCTTAAGTAATTCCATTAGGAGGTATGCATTCTCATTGTTTCTAACTCTATGTGGAACTGTTAAGAGTCTCGAGCAAATGGAGTTTCCTTGTTCTGTCATTACTGGTGGTTTTGGAAAGCCTGTTATTTATTTGCATTCCTAGGGAAACATGAAAAAAAAAGCCAGAAACAAGAGTGGCTTTCAAATAAATGATCACTATTATTTTGATCACTTTTTCCTGAATAAAACTAATAGAATATATGCCTAACGATTTCTTTTGTGCTAGCTGCATATTAAATCTAATTAAAAGCCACATGAACATAGAGGGGAATTCTAGACACCATTTATTTCAAGTATAGAAATTGCGTATAGAATAAAGAGTTCTGTCAAGAACAAAGTGATAATTATTACAAATAATTAATTGATGTAATAATGAGTAGCAAAATAAAAACTTTCTATCCAATTGTAGATGGAGGGGATTAAAGAATAGGTTCAATTACATTTTAGGGTCGCATTCTCTCTAAATTATTCGTATTGCTGTTTCTTGTATTTAAAAATTTACTTTATTCCTCTTTAACTCTAAAAATTTAAAAATCTACTTACTCTCAAATGCTACTTGCAGAACATCACAGAATAGCATATTTAGAAAAAGGAAGCTGGATCCTTGGAAACATCAACCAAACTGGCTACTTTAGAGTCAACTATGACCTAAGGAACTGGAGATTATTGATCGATCAATTAATCAGGAACCATGAGGTACATCTTTGATCTACTTATTAGTGATCGGTTTTGATGTGTGGACATCTGCCATCTTAATGATCAGAATTATCACCCCCATCCTTTCTCGTTTTCTAACTGGTCTCGTAGGTACTTTCCGTCAGTAACCGTGCAGGCTTGATTGATGATGCCTTCAGCCTGGCCAGGTATGTTTTACTCTGGATCTCCACAATAAAACCCATGCCTGTAAGACTTTTCACGTTAATTTAGATTATGCATTCATACTAAAATGTAAATTTCTTTCTTATGTTATTTTGTTTGTATCTGAACTATATCAAGTGACCCAAACTCTAAATAAATAATAGCCGTAGGATATTTCCAAGACAGTGAAACCTTTATCAGTTTCATTCCAAGTTCATTTAAAAAACTGTGGAGACTCATGTAATCTCTTCATTAATGAACTCTACACAATGGCCATTGTGCCACATTTAACACTTGATAGAAAACACCTTCAAGCATTAGCAATGTTATTTCTCACAAATGTTAGGGTATTTTTTTTAACTTGAAAGTGTATTTAAATATTTTTTCATTATGAAAAGTTTATACAGAAAGAAAGATACAAATAACATATCAATCATGTTCCAAAACACGTTGGTTGCATTAACTATAGTAATATGAAGTTGCTTTCATAATTGGATTTATAATGTTTTTTTTCTTTTAGTTTTTCAAGACAGGGTTTTTCTGGGTAGCCCTGGCTGTCCTGGATTTGCTCTGTAGACCTGGATGGTCTCAAATTTGACATCTGCCTGCCTCTGAATCTCGAGTGCTGGGATTTAAGACATACACCACTGAGACCTGTCTCTTTTTAAGTTTATCGTAGTTTCATACACTTTCCCTAATTGTGTAGATCTGGTTATTTATGTTTGTGCACACATGAACACAAGGCTTAGGCTAGTAATAGGGATTTATTCATTCACAAGAACTGATATTGCTTTTGCAATTTATGTGCTCAATCATATTTCAATTCTCCAGAATATATTAAAAATACTCCATTTCATATAGTATTCTAATCCATCCAAACTGATGAGCTGACACTAAGGGCACTCGATAATTATTTTGAGGGAAACAAAACTGAAGTTCTTCAACCAACTTAGAGAGCTTGTTGGTGGTGTGTGTGTGTGAATAAGCAATGTCAAAAAGGAAGTTTACAGGACACTTGTCTATTGACACAAAACATAAAGAGCAACCAAGTCTAGCTTCACCTTCGTTATTACACAAAGCACCACAGGTCATCACCAACTCCCTTTCTTATTTGACACACCGTGAGGAGGCAAGGGGGCACATCTGCAGACAGGACCCTGTTACTCACTGAGAACATCCAAGAACGATTTTCTACAAGGAAGCATCTATTAAGAATACAATCATTAAGCTCACTGGGTAAAAACAAGTTGCCACAGAAACCTGGCAATCTGAGTTTGATCCGCAGAATCTACAGTGTCCTTTCAGCAGGGTGGTGGTTGCTCACACCTGTAATCCCAACACTTGTGGAGGCAGCGTCAGGTGGATCTCTCTGAGTTTGAGGCCAGCCTGGTCTACAAACAGAGTCCAGAACAGTCAAGGCTACAAAGAGAAACCCTGTTCCAGAACAAAAAGAAAAAGTCCTCTGACCTTTCTACAGGAGTGCCGTGGTACATGTCTGTCTGTGCTCCCACATACACTTCATATAACACACACAAATAATGATATAAATAAATAAATTAAAACATACGAATTAAACCAAGCCATTAAGTAAGCAAAGGTACATTATGGCCCTTCCATGATGTCACAAGATCTTATTATGGAAAAATTTAGAAGCAGTCAAGATGGCCAAAGGCCTGTAGAGATAATGATACATGAAGATAATGGTTAAGGCACAGCTTTTACTCTGTAGAAAATTATGAAGACCTGGAAGAAAACATGAAATGTACAAAAGGTATTTTTTTTTTTTTACAGAGACGTATAGAGAGCTCCCTAAATTATAAACAGAGTTTGCTTATGGTAGCAGTAATACTTTACTGAGATAGAAGCAGAGAAAGAGAGACAACTGTTGACCACAAAGAATAAAGGGTTAGGGGAAAAACCAGTAACAACAAAAAACCCTCACAATAACTAATTATTAAATATGCAGACATCTTCCTGCGTGGTATAAAATATGCACTTTTCTCTTTTTAATGTCAGAGTTGCTCTAGGGCCCGTCACAAACACCAGAATCTGTGGATGCCCATAGTTCTATGTAAAGCAAATACTACTTATGTATAACCTGTGTACAGCATTAAATGATCTCTAAATTCTGGCTATGTACTACGTAATAAATTACAAATACTGTATAAAGAGTTATGTAAGAAATAATGACCAGAAAACTATACTTCTAAAGACTTTAAAACCTTGAAATATATAATCTTATTATTACCTATATAAATGATGAAAAATCTCTAAAATATTGACTTTATATTTATAGCCTGTTTTTCTGATCATGAAATGTTTCATTAAATAGAATTAAAGTTAATATGTAAAAAAATAAGACTTATTCCTGCAAATGCACTCTATGTATTTGGACTTAAATGTTATTTCTATTTAAGTATTCAGTGAACTATTTCACATTTTAAAATTGTTTATGTAAATTTCTTTTAAACACAATGGTAAATCAGGTATTTCTTGGCCTCTTTGAAAGTAACAAGTGGAAAAAGAGCAAATATTGATCAAACACAAGCAGGTCACAGACAAAGCTGAGGGTTTGGTTAGTGACCCATTTTAGTCTCAGTAAATGCATTAAGTGACTGTTCTTGCCATAGATATTTCATAGTGGAGTCTTGCAGGAATAATAGGAGTAAGTCACTTAGCCATAGCTGTACTCAGTGCATGCGTGTGGGGAATGGAGGTGTTTAATACCCAACAATGACATAGCAGAGCTCATGAGTTCAAGGCCAGGTGAATTCATCTCCCTTATGGAATTCCTTTCTGTCACACCTTCTTTATCTGTTTGGATTACAATTCACTTAAATAGTAAATGAGCAAGTAGAAATATTTAGTCTCTATCCTTTAGTATAGGCTTATCTGTTCCTTCTATGGACACTAAAGATGTATTTTTGTTCCACAATGCATGCCCTGCTTCTTGGTAGTTCTTGCATGATCCAGAAGAAAGTGCTTTGTATCATTTTGTGGTTACTGTGACTTAATTTAGTCTGGTACTGAATTACACTAATATTTGTATAATAATAAATTTACCAAGCTAGAAATGTTCCTGTCACTAATTTTGTGAAATTACCTACAATTTGTTATTAAGTTTTGGAAAATTTTAGCTCTCTAAAAATAGAGACAGTGTTGCAGAGCATCACTGTAAAATCGGAACTTGAGAGGTTGAAGCAGCCAGATGGCTGTGAGTTTGAAGTCTGCCTGGGATACACAGAGATTTCCAGCTAACTTGAGATACAGAGTAACCCTGTCCCCCCACAAACAAAACGAAAGACATGCACTTGCACAATATAGGGTAAATGGTTTAGACCAACAAAGAAAAGGTGTTAAGACTCAATTTCACCACATCCACCACCTACCCTTGCTTTATCTTCCTCAGATGCAAAAGTTGGAATATGTGGTGTGCATTATACCAGACATTTCCCCCTCTAAACCTTTATGGTGTTGAATTTTAAAATCCTGAAGAAAGATTTATTCTCTCCTCTGAGTCATTTATAAAAATAAATCCTGGGAGCTTTCCATTATCTCTGAGTTTTCGCATGATGCTGCCTGTGGTAAGGACCCTGGACTAGTTCCTGTCGTGTTTTGGTGGAGTTTTTATAGAGTTGATTTCTGTAAGTGGAATTTCAGGCTGGAAAAGCATTAACTTTTAGAAAACAAAAATAAAAACAAGAAAATAAATTGTAAAGTCTTCCTCAGCTGAATTCCCCTTGTCAACCATATGGAAGTCTCAATTCCATCAAACTCTCCATTACCGCAAATGTGTAATTTTTTAAAAATTTGACATACTGCTAGCTTAAGCTATTACTTATAAGTTATTAATTTATAGTCAAAAGTTCACTTTTTCTTACACATATGTTATCTGTATCTTCCTTTCTATAAATTATTACTTAGTTAAAGAAAGAAAATTACAAAAATAGAAAGCAAGCAAAAGTACTTCATTTCAATGCTTTGTATGGTTTTGGGGTATTATTTCTTTCAGTAGCATCTATTTGAAATATATTCTCCATCATTACACTAAATTTTTGTATGTTATGGTATTTCATCATCAAGCAAAACATTCTGTTTTTCTAGAAATTTTATTTTGTTTTGCATTTATCTCATCAATTATTCTTTCCTTAATCCATTTGCATGTTCTGCAAGAAAGAGGGAATTTTTTAAAGATACTTAATTTGTTGCTAGTTATTTCATCCTTATTTACCTTTTTTTTTTCTTTTTCATGTTTGAAATATTCTTAATTTGCTAAAAATGGCCATGTTAGTGAAGTAGTTTGACTTTTGGCTATATCATCACTTTGCTTACTAGTACCATGTCATCTTAGTTTTTGTTTAAAGTTATAATTACTACACTTGATAAAATATCTTTTCTTATTAAAAATCTTACATTTTATGTAAATTTTGGAATCATTTTGGTAAATTCCATAAAGTCGTGCCACAGATATATATTAGTTTATAAGTGAATAGATAAAGAATTAGCTTATGTGAACTTTCCATTAGCAGTGTATTTTTATCATTATTTGTTCAGATTCCTAGGGGGAGCTCTATACTTCTAAAAACATGGGTTTGGGCAATTCTTTTTCTTTCCTTTCTTTCTTTCCTTTCTTTCTTTTCTTTCTTTCTCTTTCTTTCTTTCTTTCTTTCTTTCTTTCTTTCTTTCTTTCTTTCTTTCTTTCTTTCTTTCTTTTTCTTTCTTTCTTTCTTGATACATACTGCTACCCCTGAGAGAGACACAATTTCTCTAAAAAATACCATTTAAAAAAGAAATAGTTCCATTTCTTTTTTAAAATGGGACTTTTTGCAACATGATTTTTGTTAGCTCTTTTACGTCTTCTGCGTGACTCACTTGTTCCTTGTTTAACATTTCTTTAGTAACACAGGTGTTGATCGTTTCTTTTTTCATTATTTTTAATTTATATATTCACTTCACATTCAGATCTTTATTCTTTCCTTTTCTCCTCCAGGTCCCCCTTCTCACC